CATTTACAGGGTTCGTACCCTTTTTCAGAAACAATTTTCCAGGACTTTTCCAGGACTTTTCCAGGCTTCGGATTGATTTTTCCAGGACTCCAAAATTCACCTTAACCCTTTCACTCTCAGAAGAGACAAATAATTATTCATTTCTACTTACTTTAATTTCAACAAATTATCAGACATACAAATGAGAATTATAAGAAAAATATAAAATATGAAGTCCTTTGATTGCACACTAAATTCTCAGAAGTAACATAAAAAATCCGTGGCCGATAGTAAGTAGAATTAATATTCACATCTTGGGATTGACAGGGTTAATCATTTTTGAGCTGTTGAAGCTTTCCATCCAGCTGGTCTTCAATGTCTTTCAAGGCTGCCCTTTTTTCCTTGGCAGATCTTCGCAAACTGTTTGATTTGGCAACCCAAGTAAGGTTTCTTGAATCTTCAGCCTTATCAGCAAATTCATCTGCAGTCTTTAAAAGAGCCTCTACATCAGTTTCAAACTGCCGTTTCTTCTTCTTAAGCACATCGATCTCATCCATTGTCGCCTTTCTTTTAAGCATTTTTTCCTGGGACACTCTAATTCTCTTCTGCTCTTCTAGATAGGAAAGATACTTCTGTCGCGCTCCAGCAGATGACATAAGAAGTTGCTTTGAGATTTTTACATTGGCAAGGCCCTCAACTGATTCAATATGATCATGAATAATCCTCTGTGCAATAAATGATCTCTCTGACAGGTTCTCAACTGCCACTTCTTTGTTTACAGAAAAGCCTCTTTCAACTGTGGCTTGACCATGAGACATTAGCAGCAGTAATTCAATGACCCTCCACACTTTCGTCAGTTGCTTATCACCAGCCATGTGTTCATACAACAGTGTGTCAACTCTTGAAGAGGGTTCACTAGGGTCAAAATCTTGAAAGTCAGGATTACCTGCACATTCATCCAGAAACTGTCCAAACTGATATATCACCTCATCACACTCAGCAGCCTTTAATCTGTGGGCTTCCACAAGAATTGCAAGAACTCTTTTCATTTTGTTAACACATCCTTCTTTCTCTGATGCCATTAGCCTTGGATCCAGACAAGACATATTCCTTACCAGTCGATAATTTATTGGTGTTTTGTCAAGCAGTTTAGAAGCTGTTTTTGCAAGAAAATCTTTACATTCCATTCTGAATTGAAGAACTTGCCTTTCACTCAAATTCCCAGACTTTTCTTTCAGCATCTGTTGTGCCACAAAGCCAACATCAACTTTCTGGTAGTCTAACTGCTGTTCTTTATCAGTAGGCTTCAACTTCAGGATCTTCAAAGGAGATGTTGCCTCAATTACAAGTTCACTCTTGATAAACCTATTAAGCAATGATTTCAACAAAGTGTACAAACTAAGACTCATGAATGGCAGCATAGGTCTATCAGTCTGAAATGCTGTGAGAAAAGGATTGATCTGTTTTGCCACTGATGCGAAGAAGGCGATCTTTGCAGGCATCAAGGGATCACAGCAACTACCGCTGATGGTCTCATAAGATTTGGATTTGGGATCAGTAACTTTCTTTGCCTTAACAGCATTAACATATTTGACAATATGAGNAAAAAAAAAAACGATGAAAACAAAACTGCTTACCAAATGCTGAGAAAGATAGGGTTGTTGGTCAGGGCCACCGAAGAAGAAACCTACTTCGAGGAATGATGTGACACTAATAGCTCGGTACAAAAACTGGCAATAAATAAGGGCGAGGTAATAAAACTATAACGAAATTTACATACAGCAAATAACAAAGGAGCGTAACTAACGAAATACCGGAGGGAACAGAAAAGAATACACGATAACAAGTAAGTGAGAAAATGAAAATAAAAAGAAGAAAAATTTGCCCCAACAAAAGGTACTCCGGCACATATCGGTCCCGCTTGTGCCAGAGGTTGAGAAAAAGGAAGGGCGAAAGTTTAACAAGGCTATTAAAAACTTACGAAGAACTGGTTAAAGGGACGCTAAACTTGCCTTTTATATGCGCGTGGTGACGCTAAAAGGTCCGATTACAAAACCAATAGAAATACAGAAAATCAGATAAGCATTGTAAGTATGTGGCTATCTAAGATCATTCTGAATTTAGCGAACTAATCAATAATCAATCAAAAGATGAGCCTTCTGGCTAATGTTCTTAACATGGATAACACAGAGCAAATGAGGAGGGACATGTCTGATAGACTCAGGGGTGATATTAAAAATGGAAATGTGGCCACAGTTTGAAAGAAGAATCTACATTAACCAATCCATGGAGAAGGACAACAAAGATCATGTCATCGGAGAGGTATAACCCAATCAAAAAAGATGAGGGATGTCAACATGAAGGTTTTTTTTTTTCATACGTAGTTAAACTGCAGACAGAGAAAAAAATGTTTTAAATTACCAAAATTTCCCCTCATTGACCAATTTGAAAAATAATTACCATTTTATTTTTAATAATAATAGTAAGTAATAATAATGATAATGACGATGAAGATGATAATGATAATGATAACGATAATGATAATAATGATAACATATTATTTCTATAGATTGGTGGCATATTACAACCTATTGAAAAGAGCCTGGTTCAAAAAATCCACGCCCTTGTTGGTGAAGGGGTCAAAACAGTTGAAGAAATGAAAAGGCATTTGCGACACTATGTCAGGAATGATCTTTTTGCTGGTCAGAATCCCCCACCAGTCACAAACTGACGCTATCATCCCAAGGATGTGGATATCAGGAGCCACATGTATAAGGCAACTGTAAGACAGATGCTATCCAAGGCTGACCAGGAAAATCTCGAGGAGAAAATTAAGGGGTGGAAACAAGAGAATCCAGAGGATCTCTTTTTCTTCAGACCTTACTCCCTATCCCCTATGGAAGCTGTGCCTGGCAAAACCTCTGACACAGATAGCAGTGTTGAAGCTCATATCACTCAAAACCTCCTATTTTTGCATCAAACAGCTTGGCAGAGGCATTTGATGAGCAGATATGGAAATGAAATCATGCTTCTGGATGCTACATACAAGACCATGAGATATGAGCTTCCATTGTTTTTCCTTATTGTTAAAACCAATTTTAACTATACAGTGGTTGGGGCTTTTATAACCCAAAAAGAAACAACAGCTGCAATAGAGGGAACACTGAAAATATTCCGTGCCTGAATTCCCAAGTGGAAACAACTGTAGTTTATGACAGACATTGAGTCTACATTTGAAGGTTTGTACAGTGTTTATGCAATAAATTTTTAAAACATAGAATTATGCACATGCACAATGCAAGAATGATTTTGAGCCCCTTCCCTCTGTACTTTAAAGAAGCTGTGGTGTTGGTCTGCCATCAAAGCTGTCATAAGAAAATCTCGAACAACAAAGCTCAATTTTTTATTTTATCTCTAGGTACAACAACTTAAATCTGTGATTTCCATCATGAGCAATGTTGAGAAAGATGGCTCTGTAAAGCAGATAATACCTTAAACCATCAAAGGGAGGTTCTTTCCTTGCTTCGCAATGTGGGGAGGTCTCCAACAGATGACATCCATCACACAAATCTCAAAGTCTAGTGAGTTGTGGATGTCAAATCCTCAACTGGCTTGAGAAAACATGGTTGCCAGGTACAGTTAAAACTATGGAAAAAAAAGTAAAAAAATTATAACAAAAGAAAACTGACAATCTAATCAGCACTTATTATTTATTACTTTTGGTGATGCAAAAAGGGTTATTAAAAATGATGTAAAAAAACGTTATTTTCTTTTAGAATCTGAGGTGTTCATTGCAAACTACACAATTGTGGTTCTTGGTTGTTATATGCATACACTCAGAAATACTTTATTCAGCCCCAATGGGCTTTTAATTACAAAAAAGATTAAGAACTGATGTTTTAAAAAAGGAAACCGATCGGGAAACATGTGTGACATTTTAACAAATTACCTTTTTTAAGGAATGAGTAAAATTAGTACAGTTAGCTTCTTTGTTAAAAGATGTCAGAATTTAGCTGTTGTCGAAGCACGCATAAAATTGTCAGAAAATGAAGGTGAAGGCAATTTTTTAGGTTAAGTTTCATATGATGAGACTTCTGATCAATTCTAATACTAATTCTGTTTGTGTGATTCCATGCCTTTCGTGTACATTGTTGACACTGTACCCGAAACAAGATCTTCTATGGTGTTTTAATATGAATTATATTCTTAGTTGATTTTTTAGTTGGAAAAATACTAACAATTTAATTTCTCTCCAAAAACATAAACTTTTCATTGACTTTTAAGCCAATGCAACATGGCAATTCAAAACTAAATTTTGGATAGCTGTGTTCAGTTCATTTTAAAATTTGAATCAGTCTGGCACCTTAATAATTTTGTTGTTAAATACCAATATCGACTATAGTTCCTTATTACATTTTTCCAATCCCTAAATAATAATTCACCTTCACTCTTTATGAGGACGTCAGAGGCAACCAATTGATTGGTTAGAGTGCCTCATGATATTTTTCGCAGCCCTTGAAATTGCGATTTCTTAGAATGTCATTTTGAAGTATGGGGCCGCGCTCCATATTTCAAAACGACGTTTAAACGACTGTATTTCTCTCACTTAAAAACGTGAGTCACCGAATTCCGTAGAAAGGAAAAATGTAGAAAATAAATCACTTACCGTCACTTCTCCGACGCAATACTTGTAGTGGCTATTGGTTGTAAAGGGATC